GTACTTACAGCATCAGCCCAAAAATATTTAGGAACATTTGATTCATTCAACATTGTTCTAGAAAGTTCCTCTAATGATCTATTTTTCCTTTCTACTACACCATTTTGTTGGGGAGTCCTAGGTGCAGAAAAGTTATGCAAAATATCATTTTCTTCACAATAATTTTCAAACCATTCATTTTGAAACTCTCCACCATGGTCACTTCTTAACACCTTAATTCTTAAGTCTTTCTCATTTTGAATTTGCTTTGCAAACTTCCTAAAGACCTTAAAGGCTTCACTTTTTAATGTTAAGAAAAATGTCCAAGTTTTATCTAGAAAAATCATCAACAATCACAAGAGCATAATAATTTCCACCAAAACTTTTTATCCTAGATGGACCAAATAAATCTAAGTGTAATAGTTCTAAAGGTTTTGATGTGGAAATAACATTCTTAGATTTAAAGGATGATTTTACTTGTTTACCTTTTTGACATGCATCACATAATCTATCTTTTTCAAATTTTAACTTAGGCAAACCAACAACTAAGTCTTTTGATATTAATTTGTTCAATTGATGCATATTTATATGAGCCGCTCTCTTATGCCATAACCATGGGTTTTCTTCCTTAGCAACTAAGCATGTTATACTAGTATCATGTATACAATCCAAATCAATCAAATAGATATTATTATGCCTAATGCCTTTCAATGCTACATTTTTGGAATTTACTAAATGTATGGTACAAAACTTACTTTCAAAGATTACCTTGAATCCTTTGTCACAAAGTTGACTTATATTTAGGAGATTATGCTTTAGCCCATCAACAAGAAGCACATCCTTTATCTCCAAAGTGTTTGCACCACCAATATTTCCAATTCCAAGTATCTTTCCTTTGTTGTTGTCCCCATAGGTTACATATTCTTGTTCTTTAGCTTTGAGATTTACAAATTTCGTTTTGTCTCCGGTCATATGTTTTGAGCATCCACTATCAAGATACCACATAGACTTCTTTATTTGGAAGTTTCCTACAAAACAAGAATATAGTAATCTTAGGTCCCCATATACTTTTGGGTCCTTGGGGTTAGAGACAAACAAATCATTTAACTATAGGAACCCAAATATATATTCCTTTAGGAACACCAAAATGCTTAATTCTACATCTATTTGAAGTATGACCATGTTTCATACAATAAAATCATGCATTAGATGTAATTTTAGAATTTGATACATTTCTAACTATTGACGTTTTAGTTCCTTTTTCAACCCATACTCTTCTATTTTTAATTTTAGGCTTTTTCAAGGGAACATGATGGATTTCTCTATTTTGAACAATAGCAACTTTATCCTTATAGTTATCACTTATTTCCTTCTTAGCTTTATTAAGCAAATGTATAAATAAATCAAGTTCATATTCATACTCTTTACATGATGCACATGCTATATTCTTATTATCTTTTTCTTCTAGACATACAATTTTCGTTTTTAATGTTTCCTTTTCCTCTAAACATACAATTTTCGTTTTTAAGGACTCCATCTCTTTTTAGGATTTGTTCAAACATTTTTTCATATATTTGTATTCATTTTTCAAGTCCTTAAAAGCATTAAACAATTCTTCATATGCATTTTGTAATTCATCAAAGTTATTTTCATCATCACTTGAGGAAGAGTCGGAATCACTAACCTCAAAGTCGGAAGATATATTGTCTTTTGCCATCAAGCAAATGTTAGCTTCTATTTCCGAATCACTTGACTTCAAACTTGAGTCACTATCATCCCAAGCAATGTAGGCTTTCTTCTTAAATAATTTCTTGCCTTTGTTATCTTCATTCTTCTTGTTTGGACATTCGGTTTTTACATGTCCTGTTTCACCACAACCATAACATTTGATATTTAAAGAAATACTTTCTCTTACCTTTCCCTTACCTTTGAAGGGTTGCTTCCCTTTGGCTTTCATAAACTTGATAAATTTCTTTATCATAAGACTCAATTGTTCTTCTTCTTCATTTTCTGAGTCTTCTTCTTCCTTCTTGTTCTTACTCTTGGAAATTTCAGTTTTGAAGGCTAGGTTCCTCTTTTGGTGTTGACCTTCTTCATCATTTAGCCTTCCAAGTTCAAGTTCATGCTCTCACAACTTTCCAAAGAGTACCGCCATAGACATTGTTGCTAGATTTTGTGACTCCGTGATGGCAGTCACCTTAGGTTGCCATTTCCTATCCAAATATTTCAAGGTTTTTACATTTAACTCATCAACATCAAAAATTTTACCTAACCCGGTGAGATGATTCACTATGTGTGTGAAACGCTTTTGAACGTCAAAGATTGTTTCTCCTTGTTGCATTCGGAACATCTCATATTCTTGAATCAATGAATTCTTTCGTGCTCTTTTTACATCGTTGGTACCTTCGTGGGTTACTCTTAACATTTCTCACATTTCTTGAGCACTTTTACAAACAGAGATCCTGTAAAACTCATCAAGGGTTAAAGTAGATGAAATAATATTTTTAGCCCTAACATCATATTGGGATTTTCTATTTTCCTCAGCCAACCATCTAGAAAATGGTTTTGGTACCTCTTCTCTGTTTTTAGAAATTTTATGAATAAAAGGACCGTTTAAAATTGTGTCTCAAACACCTTTATCAACAAATTCTAAAAATATTTGCATTCTTACTTTCCAAAAGGGATAATTTTGCCCCGCAAAAAGTGGGGGTCTATTGATAGAAGCACCCTCGGCAAACATTTGATTTTGTCCGGCCATTTTCGAAAATTTGAATGACTATCAAAGCAAGCTCTGTTACCACTTGTTAGAATCACGCAGCGGAATATTTGTGTTTTCGGACAAAAACCAAGAGGGGGGGGGGGTGAATTGGTTTCTTAATAAAAATTAGGGTTTTAAAATTTTCTCCAAATTTCACCAATTAAAATGTTGTGTAAAGTAAATAGAGCAAGGATAGAGTATTACACAGACGATTTATACTGGTTCGGATCAAAAGACTCTACGTTTAGTTGCTAATCACTCAAACAGAGGATTAACGTTGTCACTATAATCACAGTTATACAATCAGATTACAAAAGAAAAGATAAGGTAAAGAATACACCTCTCTTGAGTCACACAAGAGATGAACACCTCCTTTGAGTCCCACAAAGGATGAAGAACAACTTTCCCTAGAGACGACACAACACACAATCCACTAAGAAAACCCACTCAGTGATTCTTATCGCTTCTAGCCCACACTAGGTTTCAAAAGCCCCTTTTTTCCTCCAACAAACAATTCTCTAGCAGTCACAACTCTCAACTTCTGTTTGAAAAAGGATGTTCAATTTTCAGAGAGCCTTAGAGAACCTTAAGTAGAAGGATTATGGTTTGGGAATTGGGGATTTTAGAAATCAAAAGAATTGGGAATAGGGTTTTCGAAACATGATCCAATTTTGAAATTCAAAACACATATCTGACTGAAATAATTGATTATCTTGAGTGTTAATCGATTATTCCAGAGTCAAATTTGCAAGGAACCCAAAACGGCTCAGTTTAATCAATTAACTGGGCATTTAATCGATTCATAGCCTAATTAATCGATTAATAGATGGTTTAATCAATTATTCGAGAGAGCAGATGCTGAAAATGGTTTTCTCTCTGTAATAATCGATTATCCTACCATTTAATCGATTAATCTAGTATGTTTTTGATAAAAATGAGTTTTAGAACCTTTAAAGAGTGGACTATGTGCTGGCTATCTTAGACTCTAATATTACAGACTCAAAATCATCAAAACGGAGTTATTACATAATATTACAAGTCTTCAAATCTTTAAGTCCTTTATTCTTGAATCATCATCAAAATCAACAGGTTTCATATTCATATATGTTTAACATTTATATCCTTGTATGTTTCAACATCAAAATCAAAGTGTCTCTTGTATTGAGGATTGAGGTGTGCATTTATATGCCCATAATATTTCCAAGAACTCCTCAACCCAATTACCTATCTCTCCTAATCTCTTCTTCAACTTTGTCAAAATGACTTTATTAGCATCTTCTAGATACCCAAGCCTTTGTAGAATTCTACTAATCCTTTATCAGTAAATTGTTTGTCATAAAGGGTGTCAAAATAAATTTAGTTTGATGGACCAACACGAAAGACTCAAAAAATAGGTCAAACTAAAGCAAAAAAATTGTGGTCTAAATTGAATCAGACTTATTTTTGCTCGAGACGTTTAGGTCATGACCTATATGGGTTTACGTCAAACTAACTCATAGACTTATATGTCAACTTGTTTTATAAAATAATTATTTTATAAATAAAAATAAAAATATTATTTTTATTAAACACACACACACACACACACACACACACACACACACATATATATATATATATATATATATATGATAAATTAATTTGATAAATAATTAACTTATTTAAAGAGTAAATAAGAGAGGAAGTCTTTAATAGCGACCTATTTCAAGATTTAAAGGTTAAGATTAATTACTATATTAGATCAATAAATTATTAAAATAAAAATAATGATAATGAAGAGTAAATTTTTAATTCTTAATCTCAAATTGAATGGATTTATTCTCATATAATTTGTATATTAAATAATTATATCGTAAATGAAACTAATTATTTTAATATAAATTAAAATTTGAAAATATTTTTTAAATATTTTTTAATTAATTTTTTTGGTATAAACACATTAATAATATTTTTTTCAATCACACCAAAATTAGTTTGTTAGCCCGTTGATCTAATATTATGTCAGATTAAGCTAAAAATTATGGTTCATTTCAAAATCTAGGTCATACTATTGGATCATTCGATTTAACAACTCTACGCATTATTTTTGTGATTATAGTGAGGTATACCAAAGTGGCATATAATGTTTTTCCATTCAAACTTTTGGACCTATTAGATTGTGATAGTGGCTTAGGATTTTTCCTCTATTCATTTTTAATAATTAACGGCTATAAGAATGTATTTACATATTGACCTTTTGGTAAAGGGAAACAAGCCGACATGTTCATTCTCCAAATGGCAAAGGGCTAGGGTGAGACGATGTGTTGGAGTTCTTCCGAGAAATTATGGGATATGTTTCTGTATTATTGGCATTTGAGGTACCTCGTGATGTATTATGAGCAATTTTTATTGATGGTCGCAATATTCTAACTACCAATGTTCTTCCTCTAACGTGAAGTCCACATATGTCGTTATGTAGTTCATTTAGGATGTACTCAACCTAAAAAGAAGACATGCACTTCTGCATGGGTGTGGTGAAGCTTCACCTATATAGTTGTGTGTCGAGAAGCACGTAATGTGAAGATAGCTTTTTAACCTTTCGTATTTCTACAATATCCTCTGGTAATCCTGTAAGTATGTTAATATTAGCATCATCTAAGTTGTCCCGTCAAAAACTATTAAGCATTCATGTTTATCTATTGAAAGATATGTTAATATCTATTGAATGATCGTTACATTGACCCCTTTTCCTTTGTGTTTGCAAGTTTTGAGAGGAGGTTAATGCATGTTATCTTCTCGGAAAATTTTATTACTTTTCTATAGTGAAACTTGACTAACAGGCCCACAATATGGTAGTAATATTTTAACCACAAGGGTTCTTGACTGAGAAGTTTAAAAAAGATAGTCAACTGAGAGTTGGGAGTTTATTATACATTCTATTTTCGTTGCTCCCATTTCTTTTGCAAGTGACAATTTGACAATGAGAGCCTCATACTCTACTTGGTTGTTGGATGTTTTAAAATCAAATCACAAAGATGGTTCAATTAACAATTTTTCGGGTCCCTTGAAAACTATCTATGCACCTATACCCTTTTGGTTGGAAGAACCATCAATATGCAATATCTACCGTTGGTCTACTATTTTCATTTTTGGTCTTCGTTCATAGATGAAGTCAATAAGACATTGAACTTTAATTGGTCCTCCCAACTCATACCTCAAGCTAAACTCGATTAACTTTATGGACAAGGTAATCATTCTTTCGACAAGCTCAGGTTTCCTCAACACCTTGGCAATGAGGTAGTTGGTTCACATATTGATATGGTGACTTTGGAAGTATTGTTGGAGTCTCCTTTCAGTCGTTATAACACACCCTTTTCAATCATTTGATAATGTGTTTCAAGATCTTGTAAGATGCGACTAATATAGTAAACAAACCTTTGTTCACCTTATATCTCTTGGATCAATATAGCGTTGACGACAATTTTTTATATCATGAGATATAACAATAATGGTAAATTGAGAACAAGTTTGTGAAAGATTACTGGCGATGATAAGAACTCCTTGATGCTCAAGAATATTGACTCACATTGCTCGTCCTAATTGAAGCTTTGTGACTTCTTCATTAGTTGGATAATTGGCTTTGTCCTTTTAGGTAGCCTTGGTATAAATCAGGAGAGGGATGTGAGTCTTCCGACCACGTGTTATATCTCCTTTAAATTCTTGGGACTCCTCATTTTAATTAATGCTTGGCATTTGTCAAGGTTGGCTTTTATTCTCCTATGTGCTAGTATAAAGCCGAGGAATTTTCCCCTTCAACTCCAAACACACACTTTTTTGGGTTAAGGTGCATATTGTACTTTCTTCGAGCTGAGAAAACCTCAAACAAATTAGCCAAGTATTTTTGGCAAGTATTCGATTTTACAACCATATTGTTGACATAAACTTCTATGTTTTTTTCCAATAAGCTCTTTGAAGATCTTGTCCATTAGTCTCTGATAGGTTGCACCAACAATCTTTAGGCCAAAAGGAATTACCTCATAGCAATAATTGGCAGATGACATCATAAATATAGTCTTCTCAATGTCTTGTTGATACATTCATATTTGGTTATATTTGGAGTAGGAGTCGAGGAATGTTAACATCTTGTGTCTGGTTGCACCATTAACTAACCAAACAATGTAGGGAAGGTGGTATGCGTCCTTAGGGTAAACTTTGTTTAGAACAGTGTAATCAGTACACATGTGCCATTTTTTTCTAACTAGGACAATATTGGTGAGTATGTGGTGTAATATACTTCCCATATGAACCCAACTTCAAGGAGTTTGTCGACTTCATCCTCAATTACCTTTATTTGCTTTTCTCCTAACTTTATTTTCTTTTGAGTTATAAGGCGAGCCTCTCTACACACGAATAATTTAAGACACATAATTATTGAATCTATTCCCGACATGTTCATGGTTATCCATTTGAATAGGTCCACATTTTTTCTAAGGAAGCTTATAAGGAGGTGTTTCTCATTATTGGTGAGAGATGACCTCATTTTTGTGTTCTGGCCCTACTGCCCCAATTGATTGAGGTAGTCTTTTCTCACGGTTCAACCCTATAGTCATTATTTACTTGAGGGTCTAGATTCATTAGAGTGGTCGGGTTGCTTCCTTCTCTCCTTGCACATGTTATGATGTTAGTCAACAATGTGAGGCTTGCATCATAGTATTCTCAAGTTGCTCTTTGGTCTATGTATAAGGTCACTATCTCTCTGGACAATGATGGAAACTTCCTCACAAGGTGAGGGGTGGATATTATTGATCCTAAGGCATTGATGGGTGGTCTTCCAATGAGGATATTATAGGAGGCATTGGCATCCACGATAACATATAGAACTTTAATTGTTTTGTAATTAGTGTTACCTTCTCCAAATTTTTTGAAGAGGTTGATGTATTCCTTTGTGTCCACCATTTTCCCCAATAACCCTACTATATATTCATCATAAGGTTGAATTATTTCTTTCACCCATTCAAGACACTTGAATGTCTTTCAATAGAGGATGTCAACTGAGCTTCTTTGGTTTACCAGAGTCTTCTTTGCAATGAAGTTTGCTACTTTCACGATTATTACCATGGGTTATCTTGGCAAGGATATATGGCTTTGAAGTCATCATCCATGAAGGTTATTTGAGACATTTTCCTCCTTTGTCTAACAATGGTGGCATTGACGGATTGCACTACTCTTAAATATTTTTTCCTTACTAAAGTTGTCATGCCTTCCTTGGTGAACCCATTAGCAATAATGTTATTCACCCCTCTAAGAGGTTGGTCTTTCAATCCATGATTATCTGTGTTTCTTGGTCGATAGTCTTGTTGGACCTCAACTATCACTAGTCAACATTGTTCTTTTGGTGAGGAACTTGTCTCTAGATTGCCATACCCCTTAATGAACTTGTATAAGTGTATAGCCTGTATTATTTTGGCTCTCATCTAGTTCCAAAATTCTTTTAGCTCCTCTAAATGCATGAATTTAGTTGCTCGACTTCTCTATTCATCTAGGTTTGGTATTGGTTTCTTACACAGATTTGCCAATAGGTCCCAACCTTAGTATGGTTATCATGTGATGGAGAGCTACCTCAAGATTTAGATTTCTAATGTTTAATGTCATCTTGCCAAGTCTCTCTATAAAGGTTCACATCAATTCTCCCTTGTCTTATTGGATGTTGACCAATGTTATTGACATAAGGTGGTGGGGTCAATAAGTAACAAATTATGTGCCAAATTTCACTAGTAGTGCTTTAAAACAATCGATAGTATTTGGAGGTAGCCTTGTGAACCAGCTTAAAGTTGGCCCTTTGAGTGAGGGGAATGACCCGACAAAATATTGCATTTTTCATGATGTAAAGCCCGACTTGCATCACGTATATGTCAACTTGTTTGTTTGAGTCAATTGATTTGTCATATCTTTCAAGAGACAAGTTCTTCCAAGTTGATGGCTGGAGGGTCTCCATGATCCCATCAACAAATGAGTACATATAATGTCCTCCAACTTATCAAGATAAGTGCATGGATGTGTGGGTGGCCTATGACCTAGGTGCTTTAGGACTACTCTAGGTTGCCCTTGGTATAGAAAGTTTCTAGTGTTTGGTGGATATTTCCTCTTGTTTAGTCAACTTTTGATGGATTTGGGCGTTTTCACATTTTAGGGCATCAAACTCCTTAACACTTCGCTTCTTCAAACTCTCTAACTCCTTTATCGGCTCGGTTATGAGCATTAGCTCACTTGCATAATTTTCTCCTTGTTGTGACATTGTTCTTTAACTTCTTGTCATTACCATTTAGCCTTCCAAGAGTGTTTCTTGATCTCACGGTGGACGTCAAATATATTTTACAAGATTGAGAACCTTTCATAAGAGCATCTATTATAGTTCAACCTTCAAATACTCTAAAATTCTCTTATCAAGATGTATTCAATGATATTTTTAGATATATTTACTCTTCAATTGAATGTTGTCAGTGTGCCAGTAAAAGATGTTCTGACGCTCAAATCAACTAAAAGTTATTGATGTAGGGAATATATTTATTAAATAAATACTAATTACACACATGACATTTTCATCTAATTATAATATCTTTAACGAGATTTCTCTTTATAGTTCTTAGTTTTGTAACTTCATCTTCATCGTTCTCTTTTTGACCGTACATCTACAATGTACTACTTTGATTGTATGATTATCGTACACATAACATAACCATATACCTAGTTCAGTATATGCAAAAATTCGTCACCTACAACCAATAAAAACCACAAGTTTTTCATTAAATGAATAAGAAAGTTTAACATCTTGAATGCACCATTTTTAGGTTAATGCAAATTTTTATGTGGATACACGGTGTAGGGGTAGTATCTTCAACTGCTAATCAGAAACTTCATATGTGGAATTGAGATGGACGATTGGAAGTAATCCAAGGGGATCACACTGATTTTGTGGCTTATGTTTCACATGCGGATAAACCTTTGAGAAATTTCGCTATGACTAGGCCATTTACTTTTGAGACACTTGAGGATTTCAATTCTAAAATGCATAAGATTTGGTTTGTGAAAATGCATCTCGATGAAGGATTTGCGCTGAGAGAGGAGGCTAACCTCAAAATGGTCGGGGATAATGATTGAGTCCTATTACGATAGTTTCTTGGATCAATTGCAAAGTTATGTTGGTTCATTATTTTTGCCGTAGAGTCGAGAGAGTAGGATCAAGTCGAATAAGTCGATATCATCGACAGTAATATGTAATAAAAATATGTTGAATGATGAGGTTAAGTTGGATTGTGTTTATGATTTTTTGCCTTTAGGATTTGAATAATCAAATACAACAAGGAGCAAGAAAGTAAAAGCTCAGGATCCGTTCGAAGAAGTTGATTTAGGTGATGAAGAAGAAAAAAATACTTACTTATATAAGTAA